TTCTCCTGAGGGTAGTAGAAGAACTGGACGGACTTTGACTTGTGTGAGTCCTCATGGTACCATTTTAGTAATCAGAAGATAGAGAACTGTAATTTTTATACCATATACATACTTGATTTATATTTTGTTCCTGTCTCTGTTCCATTGAATAAGGTTCATAATGGTGGGTCAAAGTATATGTTTAATTGCCTAAGACATTGATAAATTTGGATTGATTTACTAAGCCATGTTTCTTCCACATCCAAACCTTAATTCAATCCTGTAGTCTGAGGTTCAATTATTCGAGTTCTTGCAGCAATAAAGCATAGTATTATATATCATAGTAAATATGAATTCAATTATTTACTAGTAAGCTCTGGGAAGTTTCCCACCCTCTAGCATAGCTAGTAGGAATAAACACTATGTAACAGGGGCTCCCCTGGAACGATGGGTCCTATGGATGCAACTGCACTAAACTTCAAATCTCTTGAACACAGCTCTTGCAAAATATAAAGAATAAAAGTAAACAATAAAACTTAATATCGTGAAGTTCAAGCTTATCTCAATTGAAGTCTCTCAAGAGGATATTGATTGTGTCAGGGTAGGAGAGTTCTCATATAATCTTTAAGTAGGTAGACTTATACCAAGAACTCTTCTATTAGGGTTCTCTAACTAATGCAAGTATATCCTTCTCCACTAAGGATTGGCTGACACCAGTACCACATCCCTAAAGGGCCTAAGATATCAGTACACTCTAGCAACAATCTATTATATGCATATCAGTTCCTACGAGGTGTTTACCAATATACTTGCCAGAGAGAAAGCTTTTACACAATCGGAGTCTCATCAGTAGCTAACTATTGAGATACCTAGGAGAGCTGATCAAATAACTCTCTTCTCATATACAATGATATATGCAAGCATTCATAGATATCAGCTGTCTTCTAGTTAAGTTCTATCTATTTTGATTGTGAACTTAGAAGGCCTATGACCCACCCTCAGGAAATTGTGGTGGCGGTAGGACCCCATGGGCACTACCCATAGTCCCTTACCCTGAGCACACTACCTACCATGATAAGAATCATGCTAATAGAGTCCTCAAACAACCTACAAAAAGCCTATGGCATAGGAGCACATGCAGGCTTGATTGACATAAAACCTTCCCAGATGTCTCCAGTACTACCCAGTACTACCCTGGGGACCCTTCTGGATAGCTCAAGCTAACTCCATCAGTTTTAGTCCATTTTACTCTATTCCTTTTAGAGAAGGTACCTAATCTCCTTACCTTAGCATCCATGTATATCCTGTGAACTACTTCTGATCGAACGGACAGGTGTAATGTATACAGTGTTATGGATATGTCTTTATAGACTCCACTTAACTAGATAGATGACAACTTTACCTATTTTGGCCCATGATACATGGGGCAAACCCTGGGGCTGCAGGTACCTGTTATCAATATTTCAGCCAAATTACAGGATGTTCAGAGCATAATAGCTTTTTCCATAGTCTTCCAATCAGTGTGCAAGCAAGTACTCATTGATCATCATTATATAACAAACAATTCTAATATTTCTCAGACTTCCTCCAAGAATATTTTCAATGGAAGGTAGGGTAATAGTGTCCCAAAGGTAGGGTAAGTATGTCTATAGTAACATGAAACTAGTCTCTATAGCAGCGTAATATGACTCTCTTAGACAGGATAAACTCACCCAGCCTTCCAACCTATCTGTAACCGGAACTAGAATCTAGTTCAAGGATTTGTGGAATTTGATATTCAGTTTGTTTAAGTTATGGTTTTGAGTATCCTTTGATACTTAGTTTATTTTACTTATAGTTTTGAGTATCCTTTGATACTTAGTTTGTTTTACTTATGGTTTTGAGTATCCTTTGATACTCAGTTTGTTTTACTTATGGTTTCGAGTATCCTTTAATACTCAGTTTGGTTTACTTATAGTTCCAAGTATTCTTTGATACTCAGTTCATTTTATTTATGGTTATGAGTATTCTTTGATACTCAGTTTGTTTTATTTGTGGTTTCGAGTATCTTTTAATACTCTAGTTATTTGAAGTGTCTCCATCATTAAGGAATGCTTGGAAAACTGGCCATGCAGGACTTGGATGGAATTATATACTTAAAGACTGCTGATTTCCTCAATGGAATAGCAGACTTCAACAGACAGTATTTCTAGTATACTTGGTTGAACAGTTACCTCTTCAAGTCCCTATTCTTTATATCTTGTTCTTGGAGCTTCTCTTAGTCCAGTATGCCTATAGGTTGTAGATCAACTTATGCACTACTCCTATTTTACTCGGAGGTGTGACTAGCACCCCAGTGCGAACATGTTACACTATTCTTAGGTCATAGCAGACATAGTCATATTACTTCTGCTACTTAGATATACCTATTCCTTAAGTACCTTCTGTTCTTAGAAATACCTGGATCATCGGATATTCCTTGGACATGCTCTGACATGTCTACCTAGTCTACCACTTGACCTCTTGGTCACATGTATGAATGTAGACCTAGGTTGCCATAGCTCTATAACATAGGCTTGTTATATACTATTAGCATTTGTGAAGGATTCCCAATTGGTGATCTTTCAGTGAGAGAGCCTCATCGATCCATTTATTCATATAAATTACTGCACTATATTATACATACATCATGCAATTATATAGTATCAGTGGCCGTGACAGAGGAAACAAAGGTGAGAGGAGGGGGGGGGGGGGGGGATAATAGGCTCTACCATCCACTGTAAATGGTATCATACAGTGCTCGGAGATGGAAGTAAAAAGAGTTTGAATACTACAAGTAACACTATCATTGTACTAAACTCCAAATTGGTCATAATTGAAGAAAAGATGGACAAGCCAGTACCACTAAGTCCAGTACCCAGACTAGGATCTGGTAGGTGCAATAAAGGACTAAAATATTATCTATTTATTTATTTTTTCATTACCATTTTCCTTTTCCCTTACTTCATATACTAGTATCCGAGTTTATAGAGTCTGGGCGTGTGATATCCGGAGGCAAAAACAGGCACATTTATGCAGGTAATTGGACCTATCAGGTTTCCGCAACCTGAATAACGCTGATGTATCTGCTCCAAGATTTAATCCAACGTCTCCGACTCCCCTGTCTGTTCCAATATGTCACCTACTATACAGTACAATATTCCCGAGGTTCCCCGTTATCACCATCCCTGCTTTTGCTCGATTCTTGTTTCCATCTCCGAGTATGATAATGGTTATCCTAGCAAGCTAACAATAATAATAATAATAAGAGACTCAACAGAAAGTGATCTGGCAACCATGTAGACTATAACATATCTCGCCTCGAAAAATCCCAGATTTTCCCGCCAGCTCCGGGATGAACTGATTATGCATGATAAATTACCGCTCCCGTCGACGGCAAGGCTACGGTGATCTAGAAACCCCCACTCTCGAAATCCGTATTTATAATGAAAGGAGATGATGGGTGGCGAATGGATGCTTCTCCGGTATCATACCGAATGATTAGTACTTGTATGATGCACTCTCCCAATTTAGGGCCGGACTGAATGGCGAAGCTCCTGAAGGCATCGTTCCCTAGTGGCAGGTGGCCGGGTCATTAATCCCGGGACCGTGTGTTCGCTGTTTGTCCGGTTCCGGTGCATGGGCCGGTATGGTAGTCTAGCGTATGCCGGGCGGGAGGTTATTGATTGTGAGCTCCGCTCAATGCACGACTACGAGTACTGTTACTAGTACTGTACTGTACCGTGCGGTGCTGGTATGATACCTCCATGATTTATTCGTGCGGTATTATACGAGTGCTATTAGGGGGTACGGGTACGGGACAGGTGGGGTCCGGAATAACTGGAAGTTCGCGCTAGGACGTTGGAGTTGCCTCTCCTAGTAAGGTCCACCGTACCGGTATTTTTCTCTCTTTTCGTCTATGATATTTCACACTTGCCGGGGGCTGAGGGTCCTTTCTCCTTTTTTCCCTTTTTTCCCGGGTCCATTCTCCCCACCTTTGTCCAAAGATGGGAATTCTGAACGTCCGAGCGTGAGGTTCACCCTTCCCAGTCCTCCTGGCATGATACGGGCCAAGTTAAGAATATCATTTCTAGCAACGCTAAGACCGGATTGGGCAGTAGTCCCTACTGGTTCAGGAGACATGATAGGTTTTTTCTGTTTCCGTTTAGTGCTCAAATGACTCAGCGCCTATAGCCAGCTTAAATATTCCCAACACTCAAGGTGTTCCAAAAAAGGGTTAGCGTGCTTGACAACGAACTCTACTGTTTCAGACGGCCCAAGGGCGACGGCATCCTGCGGTGCCGGTACAGGTATTTTGACTGGTGCTGATATACGAGTTCAAGTGCCCACGACACCCACTCCCCCCCCTTCATCTGGCCCGACAATAGCCTACCCACCAAACCAAACAAAGGTTTAAGTTTTACTTGCACCGCCGGCCTGGAAACCCCCTTACGGTACCTCACCCTACCCTGCCTCACTATCACACCCCGTCCCTCCCTCCGTTCCATCCGCTGGCTCACTCGCTCACCCATGAAAAACGCCCCTCCAAACCCACACTAAGTGGAGCGCCCCGTAGACTCCCGCTATAATATTGCTCTAACCTATAGTGTAATTTTAATTGATGTCTGTGAATGGGCTATCAGAGAAAAGGTAGTATTTTAGAGCGCCATGAGAGGAGAGGGGCATAAGAAGAAAGGATGAAAAGTAAAAAGAAAAACGCCAATTTGGAGAAAAAAAGCCCCCCCCAAAAAAAGCCGCAGAGCAAAGTAAACCCAAATTGCCGATACTTCCACTAGCCCGAGAATATATGGGTGAACATGAACGAAGGAGAAGTGAAATGGATAAAAGAAGAGGGAAAGGGTTTTTTTGTCCTAGTTGGTGTATGATACCGGTATGCATGCGTGGGTGATAATAAATAAGTAGGGAGCAACGGGTGGAAATTGCCCTCATTCCATCCATGACAACTTCTCCCAACAGGTCATTCAAGGTGTAATGCCCTTTATTTACTTTCCTCCCTTCTTCTTCTTATTGCGGAACAAGAAGTCCTTCCCTTTATCCGCCCAGCCTCTATAGTCAATATTAGCATCAGGGGTAAGGCGCTGTGACTCTTCACTCTGGCGGAGCTTCATGAGGTCTGAGTCGGCAGTGTGGACGGCGTTACCTGCACCCTATTCACCGTGCAGCGTGGCACAGTCAGCTTCAACGCCTTCAGGTAGCGCAGGGAGGGAGGAGGGAGGTAGCGTACTCCGCGACCGCCATGGAAGGAATCAGAACTACTTGGACGTCCAGGCTCTCCTTCAACATCTTGCGCAGCGCGCGCAAGTTCAGGATGGGCGGGGTCATTGACCGCCATGTTGCCCTGGTTGTCACAGGAGAAGAGTTAGTGGTGCAGACGGAGATAAGAAGAGAGAGGGAAATTTTACGGTTCCGCCTCGGCCTGTGGTATATACTGGGCTTTTCAAGGCCGGAATGCGAAGGTCTTCGGGAGATGCTTCGGGGGGGTGTTCGTCTGCGCCGATGTTTCCGGCTCCTCCGCGTCCTTGAGGGAGAAAAACTCAATTAATTCCTTTTTCTTCTTCGTCGAGCAGATTCTGTAGGGGGTGTTCGATTGCTAATCGCCAACTACTAACCGTGGCTGGTCTGGAGGTGAAGAATTGATGCATTAGATCGATTTATTGATTGTTTGTGAGGGTTTGAATAAACCAGATAGATAGATGGGGGAAAACTCACAACTTGGGTAAGATTGTTATGACCGTCTAGGGACTGATGAGGGAGTGTAGGAGTAGCCATTGAACCCCGAGTGGTGAAGGTGAGGTTTATGTTTTACGAAAGAAGAAAAAAAGGTCCTGGGATTGCTTTAATTTGCTTTTTTCTCCTTCTGTTTTCACCGTACGGTACTTGTAGAAAAGTGAAGAAAGGGAAAAAAGGAAAAAGCAAAGAGGGAATACCGGTAGGGAGAAAAAGGAAGAAAAAGAAAAGAGAGGATCCTAGGAAGGAGGAGAGAGGGGAGGATCGGGAAAGCAAGCACGGCACTGGAGACCCCACTGTAGGCTACGGTAAGTGGAATAGCTACCGGTACTGTACTAGAGTACTGTAGGTCTTCGGAGGTCCCTCGGTGCGATGCTGTTGTACAAGTATGTTTCCCGCAACGCGATATCGATAATTGCTCTGTATGATGCTCAGCTCAACTCATCCAAACCGAAGGTTCGATCTCGGCGGGCACTGTTGGGCGAAAGAGGTTGATTTCGCTCTTATTCCCTTCCTGTCTCCCTCTGCAGCAGGGACTGACGAGAAAATCACCCAGATTCGACCTAACTTACTTCATATCCTTCTTCCTTGATACTGGAGGTCACCCGCCCCCACTGGGCTAACTTGAAGCCCAGGACCTCCTCTCCCGTCCAGTTCCCACCGCAGACAAGCAACTTTCGTATGTTATCGACACCAAAACAGCTAGAATGCGGTACTCGTACAAAGAATGTTTAAGATTCAATGGCATAATGGAGAAGGGGTGCGACAAAGTTAGGCAGTCTGCCCGGGAATGTGCTTTTTTTCTGACCCAATCCTAAAATACAGCTGAACTTTTCACGCAGAAGCACTACTGTACCGGTACCGTACTCGAGTAATCTCCCCCCCTGCGGGAGGGAAAGAGGGAAAGCCTGGCTGCCACACACATCCATCCAAGCAAGCACGCCTTCTCGTGCATTTCTTATTGAAAAAAAATTAGGTAATTAGGTAATTTATCTGCAATTGTCGGGTTACACCTGAGGGAAGGCATAGGGCTATTGTGGAAGGTGATTGGGTTCCGTGGTCCTTGCAGATGTGCGTGATTGGCTGGTTGAACCACCGGAACGGTAACTGCCCAACTACTCGTGCAGAGTGTATAAAACTGCGCGCCGGTGGGAATATCGTGTCGTATAGCGAAAGAACTCCGCCTTGGAGAGTCGGGTGGGTTTCGTGAAAACCTAACAGTTCAATTCGAGACCGCGAACGTGATTATTTGCTTTTCTCGAGATGTGCCCTTCCTTCCCTCCCCTTCTGCTTCCCTCCCCTTCTGCTTCCCTTCCCTTCCCTTCCCTTCCCTCTCTCTCTCTCTCTCTCTCTCTCTCTCTCTCTCTCTCTCTCTCTCTCTCTCTCTCTCTCTCTCTCTCTCTCTCTCTC